CATGTGTGCATGTCCATACAACCCCATAATAAAGTTCTTTTACTGGGATGGTGATTGCCAGTTACGTGTCCGGGCACTACTATGCATTTTGGTTTATGGTAGGATATACCCATGTTCTTTATTCTTTTACTCTTCTAGGTTTTAATTTCCCTGAATGAATTGCAACTAAGGGTAGGGGAATTGTTTTGTATTCATGCATTACAATAAGGATTACATTTCAATGTGATTTTCTTTGCATTAAACGAATAGTAACAGAATCATAAAAGAGTTAACTTCTGCAGAATCTTTTTTGTAAGCAAGCTGTCACAGCAGGAGACTTTGGATGATTTGTTCAAATTCAGAAAGTACCAATAGGATGATTTGGCTCAATTTACAATAAGGAGTTCAGTAAATTACTGCTTAAAAGAGAGTGCTTTCCAATTTTAAGCCAAATAAGTATCAAGTAGAAAAGTCATTAATAAGGAAGGGAGTGTGGTTCTGTACCCAGTCATTGATAGTGTGATGTATGGGAATGAGAAAAAAGACTGAAAGTTCTGTGGCAGTGGCAATGTTTTTTGGACCAACATAAATTAAATTGCTTGATGTGTGGAATAAAATACATAGTCTAGAGGTTCACTTACACTGGCTTAAGGAAGAACACAAGGTACAGTATTTTTCATTGTCAAAAACCTGTACCGAAACCTTGTTGAGACTATAGTACTGAAACTGATTTCCTTTGAAAGGTTCTTCAGACAGTTTCAGATGATTTCCCCACTCTTATTTATTGCTTTTGTTGCTTTTTAAATTATTTACCATTTTTTCACTCATCAAAGGCCCTCAAGCAACTCATTTAAAATAAAACAATGTAAATAGTCATAAACTGCCACTAATGTATAAGATATGACCAAAGCCAGCAGTAGCAGCAGCAGAAATGAACAGCCATGGAGCCAGCCCTACAGAATGCAAAGGTCTTCTTCAATACTGGATTAAGAGGGCGCCAGCTTGGCAAACCTCTTTGGGTATGGAGTTCCACAAGGGGAGGGGGTACCATTATTAATAAGACAAATGTAACAGTTCTTGTAACCAATGTTCCCTCTAAGCTGTGGAGTCTTGTGAGCAAAATTTCTACTTTCTGAGCTACTGGCATTAAAGTTGTGAGCGAGCGATTCAGCTACTGCATTAATTAATTTGTTCTGGAGCTGTCCTTCCTAAGCTAAGACAAAACTGTGTGAGCCAGAGGCTAAAAAACTGTGAGCTAGCTCACACTGACTCAGCTTAGAGGGAACAGTGCTTGTAACCATCAGTACAGTCTTGGTATACAGTGCCCCTCACATGACATCATTCACTGAGGTTCGTATGGGAGCCCCTTAAATTTATTTTACTTCATTTCTTGTCTGCCTTTTTCGAGAAACTGAAGGCAAATTACATAACTATAAAAGACACTGTCCTATGTACAGTGAACAGTGGAATGTTACAGGACCATACAAATGAAAGACCAATGAAATTTACAAGTATATTAAATCACATAAACTGGATTTCACAATTAACAGTATTCCAATAAATTAACATATTCCAGTAAATTGGATTTCACTACTAAAGGAGCGCTGAATACATCCAGTAAACAAGTATAACACATCCAGTAAATAATTCAGAATGGGGGGTGGGGGGGAGCTGCCTAAAAATTTCACAAGCAATTAAATTAAAACATTATTAAAAAGGTAAAGGTTCCCTTGCTCGAAAGCCAGTCGAGTCCGACTCTAGGGTTGCGGTGCTCATCTCCATTTCAAAGCCGAAGAGCCAGTGCTGTCCGAAGACATTTCTGTGGTCATGTGGCCGACATGACTAAACCCCAAGGCTCACGGAACACTGCTACCTTCCCACCGAAGTGGTACCTATTTATCTACTTGCAATTTCTTGCTTTCGAACTGCTAGGTTGGCAGGAGCTGGAACTAGAGACGGGAGCTCACTCCGTCATGCGGCACACTCGGGTCTCGAACTGCTGAACTACCCACCTTCCACAGCCTGCAGTCTTAACCACTTGAGCCACCGCAGCTCCTAAGAAACATCATTACTTACTAACTAAAAATCAATGCCACCTATGACCAGATCTGAAACCCAGCTAAAAGGGGTCTAGAGCAGATCTGTCATCCAAGACATCTCACATCAGAAAGGGCAATTTAGAGAAAATCAACGCCAGGGTGATTTTTGGTGGTAGTCTGGTTGCTGGTACGGTTCTATATGAAATTGCCCTTGCAAGACATCCCAAGGTAATCTATTTTCACTCCATTTTTAGCAGTGGCTTCTCTTTCACGCCTGATTTGCATTGAAGCTTCCCTCCCAGCCTCCCCTCTTTTCACATGATCCTCAGGATTGTCCACCCATGCTCTTTCAGTTTTTTTTAAAGGAACATGGATAAAATAGTATCACATAGTAATAACACAATACCTTTAAGAAAAACCTTTTTAAAATTCCACATATTTGCAAAAACTTCCGCCGATCACCTTGCCCCTTCTCTAAAAGGCAGGCTGAGCTGTGGGTGATTTTTTTAAAATAAGCATGAGTAATGCTGGATAGGAATAATGCAAAACCTTTAACAACCTTTAAAAAATCTTCATATATTTGCAGATACCTCCTACAATTCCCTCCCCTCTGTCTAAAAGGCAGGTGATTCTCTTCTATTATGCTAAATTGTTGCCCTTTGCAGTCATCTACAAGTGAAAAGAGTAACTGACATGTCACCAAAGTCCTGGAACTATGCTGTTTCCCCCTCAGATACAACAAATTGCTCATTGTAATGGTATCATGGCCAGGAAATACTGTTTTTTTTAAAGGTTTAACATAAAGCAGATTTGTATATGTGTGTGTGTAAAGAATGAGCTGTGGCGGGCACATGCAACAAGCCCCACCCCCTGCTCCCAGCTGCCAAGTTCAGCAGCAAGTAAATCTCCACACATGTTTCCAAGGAAGCATTATGCTTTATTAGATTACAAAACTGGTACCATATCCACAGGATTATTGTTAGGAATAACCAAGGAAACATCCCTACATATAGCAGGATGAGGCAAATGGCTAAGCAAATGATATTCTCGCGCGCGCGGGGGGGAATTCTCCCGGCGGGAGGATACGTAATAAGCGGGAGAGTCTCAGTGCCTCATGAGAGCTGAAAGATTCACACCAGCAGTGGAACGCAAGCCCTCCCCCCTTCACAAGGCCAGATAGATAACACCGTCTGGCAGCACTGGTTCTCACGGTCTCCCTATCGCTGTTTACGGCAAGTGGCGGAGCAGCGAGCAAGCCAGGATCAGAGAAGGGAACAAGCAAAACATGGCAGCTAGCTGACATCATGTGGAGTCAAGAAAAAAACCAATCGAGTCTGGCTAAAACATAGGAAATCCTTGGTATGAAAACAGCCCAGAGCGATGGGTTTTTTTTTAAAGTGATGAACAAATAACTGCCTCCTTTAGTTTCTGAGGGAAAATGCCCAGTATAAGTGATTGAATATGCGATTATTGCTCTGTTCTTAGATACATTATCTTTGCTTTTCCACAGACTTAACTGGAGCAAAGGTGGCATAATGAATGAATCTGAGGTCCCTCTGTTGTGCTTGTTTATTAATATTTATAATGTTTTAATGTGCAAAGCACTTTGTGGTTTCACTGTCATTTATCCTCACAACAACCCAATGAAATGGGTAGAAGAAACTGAATTTATTTACCTGACCAATAAATTCATGGATGAGATTACAATGCAAAATTTGGTCTCCAATCCACTGAAGTACATTGGCTTGCCACATGTATTGACGGCCATAACTACTTTGCATCATCTTTTGTCACAGCATTAACAGAAAACAATAAAGCAATACGGAGAGCTGAAGGAGGTATGAAATACAACATAGGTCATCAATTCATCATGGAATTCATCATGATAAATTTCATCAACAGGTTGTTCTTTGGAAGTATTGTAACTAATCCTTCATGAACTTGAAAAACAATGATAACTTCTCTCCAGCTATAAAGGTTTTTTTACAGTACAGACTTTTGTGTGGATTCAAACAAAGAAAAACTAATACTTGTTGGGGGGAAACCATGTAGGTGAGACTTTATAGGGTCCTCTAACATTATTTTTGTGGCAAAGGGCCTGCATAAGTGTTGCCATTTCACATGCCACAAAGGTAACATTAGAAACCTCAGATTACATGGGAAGGGCCCAAAACATGGTTCCTTCCTGTTCCACCATTGTTCTTCCTGGAAACTTGTACATTATTGTGGTACAAAGGAACCACCCCATGGTCTTCTCTGATGTGGCCCAAATATTCTAACTTTACTGGCACAGAAAAGAGCAGTACTGTACTGGCAGCCTTTCTGCAAAGCTAACAGCACAAGGGCCCCTGATTTTTTTGAAAGGGTCCAGTGAACAGTGCTGGTGTTGTGTCCTTGGATAATACAGATTTTTGTGGTTTGTGTAGTGAGTGTCAGTTGTGTTGTTCATAACTTAATGTATCCATTCAGACCAACTAATTTGAGCTTCAATTCAGTTAGCTTGCATTTCCAAATAAAAATCATGATTAAGCAGACTGGTTATATTAATCAAGTAGCTTGTTCCTGTAACCATTTATTTATTTTTCAGCATTGCATTAACTCCTATCTCTTCCATTTAATTAGTGATTTCTTATGTCGTACTCCTATAAGATGTTTTACTGAAAAGTTGGATAACAGCTTCTTATATTCCTGGGAAACCCATTGTCTTTTAAATGCAAGATATAAAATTACATTTCTTGTATGTTGCACTTAAGTGGGCCACAATCCAGCTAGAATTAGTCATGAACTAATAGTGCAATTCTATGCAGAGATATTCCAGTCTAAGTTAATTGATTTTATTGGGCATAGACTGCAGTAAGTCTGCACAGGGTTACACTGTCAATCCAATCCTGTCTAATTTCCTACTTGTGTGTTCTCTTCCATTTTTGAGACCCCCCCCCCATTTTTATCATGTTTATAACACTGCTTAACTCCCTTTTCTAGTTGATGGATGTAAATCCGGATGAACGGTCTTCTCAACTGAGTGATATCCAAGACATTTCTTATTTGGCTGATATCAACTGGGATGCAGTTTTACAGAAGAGAATAATGCCTGGATTCATTCCAACCGTAAGACAATGTGTTATGTTGCTGCTATTTTTTATTAGAGAGTGTAGTGGTTAAGAGTGATGGACTCTAATATGGAGAACTGGGTTCGATTCCGCACTCCCCCACATGAAGCCAGCTGGTTGACCTTGGGTCAGTCAGAGCTCTCTCAGCCCTGCAAAAAATAAGTCTAGCTCACCACCCAGCATGATGCTATTGAGCTAGAACTTAATGCTGCCAGACAATCTTTGGATCTCTTGGCTATATTACACACAATGCCATATGATAATTAATTTATTAATTAATTGTTTTTTTAGAAGCTGATGATGAGGATGATAGTAATGCATCTATATAATACCTTTTGGTACAGAAAGCATTGAATGCTGTTTAGGATATGTTGGTGGGAATTCCATACCCTAGCACAAAGAGAGTTTATGGAGTATATAAACACCTGAAGGAGACTTATAAATAGAAACATTTGGGATTTAGTAACTAATCATTCTGTAGTAGCCATGTTAATGAAAAGTTCAGTCCTTTTAGGGAAGAGCTCATTTCAAGGTTTGAGGTATAAACCACACTGTAAACCACATTCAGCTGTGTTTCAAATGATCTATCTACCCTTTTGTAGAAAGGCAAGTTGAACTGCGACCCGACCTTTGAACTTGAAGAAATGATCCTGGAGTCTAAGCCACTTCATAAGAAAAAGAAACGCTTGGCCAAGAAGGAAAAAGAAAGCAGTAAAGGTGATTCCATGGAGGTGAGACAGCTTCCAATTATTTTTCTACTCTTGCACCTTTTACCTTGAGTAGGTGGTTTTAGGGGTGGCATCATTGTTGCATGCAAGGCTCAGGGGCTGGATCCACCCAAAGGTGTTGCAGCATATTCTCTGTGGGGGGGCTGCCACATCAGCACCTTACAGATCATTTCCCATCCTTGGAAGTCTGTGCACTCATTTACTAGATGCTATAGAGAAGCTGACCTTGGCTGCAGCAGCTTTCCATTGGGTTGTGCTGCAGCACACCCTATAAACCAAAAGCTGGATTTCCCACCCTGGGGCACGCTGCTATTTTATGTCCCAAGAGTAAGGACTGCCCCACTCCCAGGACCACCGGAGAATGGAAGATTTGTATTCACTTACCATGAAGTTTCCTTTCTTGGTGGTCCGGGAGTGGGGCAGTCCTACCCACCCAGGTTTTGGGGGGGGGCAGTTTCCGGAGGGTTTTTTTTGGGGGGGATGTAGAAACTGGATGAATGTTTATGAAGTTTCTCTGAGATAATAAAACAAAAAATTGTGAGTTAATTGGGTGAGAGAGCGACAGAGGGTTTCAATCTTGGTCTACACCTGCTGGAGGGGCATGAAGTTACAAGATTGGTTGCCCTGAAAATCGAGTTTCACTATGGTGGGGAGAAGTGTTTTTCTTAGTGTGATGTTGGGGGATGCACAGCTTGGAGATGGCTGGGATGTTCCCAGGGGACAGGCCCCTCCCCTTCTTGGATTGATCTGAGAAAACCAACCCTGTTCCAGAGGAGGAGCCTATTCCCAAGAGTAAGGACTGCCCCACTCCCGGACCACTGAGAAAGGAAGCTTCACGGTAAGTGAATACAAATCTTCCATTCTTCTCCACACCCCTTTCTTTCAAGTTCAAAATGCCAGTGATTTTTTTCCGGCTTTGTCTTATTTTGAGAAGTATTTTGCAGATAACATTGTCAGTGTGGGACTTGCTGAAGGGCATGTGAGACGTAACATTCATGGCTGCCATGCTACAGCCATCTTGTGGGGATGGTTCATGTATTGCTGACTGAAACTGGGAATCCTGTCACTACCCTTTCTCTTGTGATCACATTGCTTAAGCAGCCACATTATAGTAGCATATGAAGGGGCCCAATTACTCAGTCTGGGATAACGTGGAAAACTATGGCTGCATACTGACAAGCTTTTAGGAAAGAGCAGTTCATCATTATCTAAACAATAATTAATCTGTATTCTGCCACAAGATGAGCATTTTACCATTCTTTTTTTACCAAAGAGAAGGGCATTATATCCCAATATCCCAGTTATTGGTGCTCCTTTTTAATCACTTCTTTATTCACTGGCAAAACCTGTATTTTGGTACCTTGAATGCCTACCTGAGCCGTATGCTGAAGATTTCTAATCACCTGATATTTTTTCTTGCTTCCATAATGATAGGCTTACATCCTTCAGAAAAACCTGGAGTCACTCGAAAGGGACTTTCTCATTTTCAACAGAGAAAAGTAAGTATTGACCTGAAAATGTAGACTTTGTCTTGGCAAGTTTACTGTAGCATGTCAATAAGACTCCCTAGTTATAATGAAGTCAGATGAGTGTTCCTCAGATAAATAAGAAATGAGTTTGGCAAGGTCTGTAGGAACATACTGGAGATTAGGCAGTGTGCATAGGTTTTCACTGGCTTGCTGTTCAAATGTACGAGGACCAGAAAACTTCACCAAAGTAGTGAGTCCTGCTAAATTTTAATTGTGAAGTCACGTAATAAAATACAGCATGGAAAAAAGTGGGCTTATATGTCCTTCAGGAAAGAAATGATGTCATTAAAGAATGATTGTTCAGTTCCAGCAATAACAGGTAGATGTTCTATGAGCAGAAATAATTTTTCTTGAGACTTTTTTACAATAGTGGCCAGTTTGCACCTTGAAAGTCCACTACTGCATAGGTAGTCTTGCCTAGTGATGTCTTAGCTCTGCTTTTGGATAATTCAGCAATATTAATTTTCCAGCCCCAGTGGCAGTGTGCCCCATACAGAGTTTTCCAGAAAACACTGTCATGGCTACACCTCTAGTTACCTATTGGTGAGCCCGAGAAACTGAATAAGTCTATGCTCATGTAGTAAATTACAAGATGCAAAAAACTGACCCAGTTGTCAATTTCAGTGCTAGTAAATATGGTGCTGTATTAAGAGATAAGACAGTATGTACTGGAGATTCATAGTACATGTGGGGAATGGCAAGGACTTGGCAGGAGCATCTCATTTCCCCCTCCCCCACTATTTCTTGTTTCCCTTCCCTGAAAGCCTCTAGAGGCTCTTCCCTTGTCCTGTTTCTTTCCTCCTGGCAGCCTTTCCAAGGGAAAACTCTAGGCAGTTCCAGGTGGGGTGGACTCAGTTGTGCAGTGCCAGCTGGCAAGCCAGCTCAATAGTGTGGTGTCAGTCAACATGCTGGGCCCAGTTACACCATGTGGAACCTGCAAGGACTGGGGGGGGGGGGCTCACTTTCCCCAGTAACCCCCATCCCACACTATTTCTTCTTTTCCTCCTCTTGGCAGCCCCTATATCAGTTTTCCCTGCTTCCTTCTTTCTTTCCCACCCACCAACCCAGTGGCTACTCTTAGACTTGGCCTCAATGAGTCTTCACTTAAGGCTAAAACAGCCCTTGAAAGAACCCTGTTCCATCTATCTGCCTTTTACTGACAGAAACCAAGCAACTGGCATTACTGTTGTGTTTGCCTAACAACCTCCGCAAATACCAGTGGGATCTTCTTTCTTAAAAGTACCTGTGTTGCTTCTATTATTTGCAGTTATTAACCCCCTGGTTGTTGTTGTTTTTTTAATTTATGTGTTTAGATTTTCTGCAAACCTGGGACTTTGCCCAGGCTAGCCTGATCTCATCATATCTCAGAAGCTAAGTAGGGTCAACCCTGGTTAGTACTTGGATGGGAGACCAAGGAAGTCCAGGCTTTCTCTTCAGAGACAGGCAATGTTAAATCACCTCTGAACGTCTGTTGCCTTGAAAACTCTAAGGGGTCACTGCAAATCAACTGTGACTTGACACCCCCCCCCAAAAAAAGTTGTCTCATCTGTTCATGGTTGCAGTCTCCAGATTTAAACATCCACAGATTTGTTCATGTTGAGAATTAGATATGCTGATACGGCAGATGGCAAATAGACATCTCATAGGTTGCTGGGTCTCATTGTTGCATAATTAAGAACTTCAGTTTCTCTTCCTTTTCTTTCTCAGGATGAGGAAACAACATAATGAAATGCAAGAGAACCTGACACTGGCACAAACCAAAGATGACCAGGAAGAAGAAGATGACCAGAATAATAATCTGTGAAATCTATTTAGTGTCAGCTCTGGTGATACTTTTGAAGGTTCTGGTTTGCAACTTCACTGCTTCATGGAGCATCAGAAACTGCTGTCTTGTCAAGGCAGATGCCTTGCTCTGACGCTTCCAAACCTGAAGCTGAGTATCTCCTTCTGCCGTAAGGAGTTAAGCTCTAGTATCTTGCCTCAGTAAATAAGGCACAAATTCTCATTTTATGCTTTTTATTTTTTTTAAAACTTGATCATAGACAGCAAAGAATGGTTTCCCCCCAAAAAAGGAAGCAAAACGGTGGAAGGTCAATTTCACATTTCCTTTATGTAGCATTTCTTTCAGCAAGACATTGGGATATTGATATCAGATAACAGTCAGCTGCTTATAGAAAAACATAAGGTCTTTATTAAGAGTTTGCTTGTTGGGTGGCTGCATATTTTAACAGATGTTTCAGAAAGAGGGGCTAGAACCACAAATGCAGTGCAGGGGATTCCAGTGGCGATATCAAATGTTGTTAGTAATAGCAACTGCTCTGTCCTACAGCTTATATTCAATGCACAACCTAAAAATATACAAAGAGAAGTTCTCTTTTGTTATAGGCTCTTTCTGATACTGGCAATATATGTATTAAGTAGCAATCAAAAGATTAATTCAGTGTGACCTCTGACAGAGTATGTGAATAAGGCCTTAGAGCTGCTATGTGAGTCAGAAAGCAAATCAGTGATCAGATTCCAGAATGGTAGCTGAGCCTTATTAGTCTGCTGTAGCAAAGAACAACAGAGGGTTTAGTGGACCGTGAAGCCTAGCAGATTTATTGTGACTTAATTTATATAATATGTAACTCTTTAAGGTCTACCACTTGCTTATAGATGGAATGCACCAGCAAGTTCAGTAGCATACTTCAACCATTATGTTGGACAGGAGGAATGATTATAAGCATTTTTCATAAGGGCAACTACAATGAAAAAACACAGTGCTGTTTACTCAGGTTACCTGCTAAAGGTTGATTTTGTGTGGTTGGTGACCATAAGGTCAATTGTATATTTTCCATGTTGTTAAGTGTTTTATGAAGCTTTGTAGGATTAGGTTGCTATTTGAGCCAATATAAATTCAGATCTCCTAGGAGCTGCCAAAAGTCTGAGGTCTGGTGTGGGTTTATCAAGCATTAGGTTAGCCTCACATTTTTAAGACTTTTAGGATAGTGTGTAGCCATCAAAGGCTGACAATGAGCCCCACCAAACTCTTCTTACACTATTTACATTGAAACAAAGCCAGAATCTCAGAATGGGTTCTTTTCCCAGGCTTTTACAATACTAGTTAAAAAGGGGTAAATAATTGTTCACCTCTAAAGGTAAAGGTTTCCCTTGCTTGAAAGCCAGTCGAATCCGACTCTAGGGTGCGGCCAACCTAAATAAAATGGTAACAAATGGCCTTTCATTTTCAAGCATGTGAATGAACTTTCTCAGAAACTAGCAGACATCATTTTAAAGTCTCATTGACTTCAAAAGAAAAATTATGCCCCTCCCCATTAATATTAATAGGAGTATTTCACAGATGTGTTTAACTCTGACTCGATGGTGATTAAAAGATGCTGGGCACAGTTTTGAAGAAGGACATGGAGTTAGTGTTCATTTGTATAATCTATCAAGCAATCCAAACTTTTCTATAGGCACACTGCAAATTTTCTACTGCCAAAGGCAGTCAGGCTTCTCCTGGATTTGCTTCTGGAATATGTAGCTCATCTGTATGCATTAAGCATCCACACTGGAAGAACAGCGTGATAAGCCCCCCCCCCCTTAAATAGACAAACCAAACTACTGGACGTTAAAGTAGAATAACCATCTTGGGGGTAATAGGAAATAAGAGCTATATTCTCTTAATCCCATTGACTGCATCATAAACCCGTCTTACGTACACAGAAAATAGCTTAGTTTTGAAGCAAACGTTCAATCACTGTTTTAATAACTCACTCCCAGGTTATGGTCCAGGCTCCCCCGTCTGCTTTATTTTGGGATCAATGATGAGTCCAATGGCAGTAGTCCTCCTGAGAGGTAATCATTCCAAAACCAGACAACATTTGTATAGAATTCTCCCCCAAACAGCTGAAGTTGTTTTGGGATGATAACTGCAACCTTGACAGTACCACCAAGAGTTTATGCGACCATTACACTCAAAAAAGGTGCTGCTTGATAGAGATCTTTTATCTGAAACTCTGCTGTAACCTTGTTCATCACAGGACAATATCATCCTGTCCAAAAGATGGTCTTCGTTCAGTCCTGACACAGTTACTATAATACTATAATATCTGAACCAATTTTTCAATCTGTACTATATTTTGTCCATCTCATATTGCAGGGACACCTAGTTGACAGTACCAGCTTTAGCTGTTCTCTGTTGATGCAGAGATCAAGACAGAACAGCTGAACATTCACATATTGTTTCTTACCTGGCAGGTGCCCAACCATCAGTGGAAAATCGAGAGATCCGTGGTTCACAAATATTGTAACAAAGTAAATTAACCGGTCCCTGTTGCTCTGCAGTCTCAAGAGAAATAACTACATCCTTGAAGACAGTTTTTATCCCACTTATCAGATACTACCTTGTAAGCCTTAGCACTGTGTAGAGCTAGCAGACTCCCTCCAATTCTGTTTGAGTGATGTGTAAGGGGAAAGCCTGCTTCCAGCAGATAGCTCTATTACAGATGTACCTTCCTGCTCTGGGAAGCCAGATAATGGGGAAGGGGGGGGGAGTTTTCACAAAATGGATACTGGACAGGGAAGAGATTATTCAGTGTTTGCTTTTTCTCTCAAAAGGCTGCATGAAAGCTACTCTGAGTGGCAGTGTCAGGTGTTCCACTTCTATCAGTTGAAAAGTACCTATGGCATCACCAGTGATATCAAGTAGGTGCCCAAGACATGCAATTAAATTCTACTCAGCACTTGCTAACACGGCAGGCCTGTTTGCTTATGGCTTAAAATTAGTAGTTTACAGCAACACCACACTACAGTTTGAGTGAGGGAAAACGTGTTTTCCATCAGTTGGCACTGGGGGGGGGGGATTCCTGGATGTATTCCACAACAGGAACTGTGCATTTAATGTACAATAAAGTTCTTTTGAAAGCCTCATGTCTAATTTGTATCCCAAAATGATTTACACCATGTTTAGGTAAGGATCCAAAGCCCAATATTCATCTTCAGAATGCTAGAAACAAATAATCTTTGGATTTAAAAGGCCATATACTACTGGCTGTTTTGGTACTGCTACTGGATTGCAGGATTTATAGGTGCACTTTTGCCCTCTAATGGTATGTGTAAAGTTCTGTCAAGTTGCAGCCAACTCATGGCAACCCCAGCAAGGGCCTTGCATGGGAAGTGAGAAGTAGAGTTGGTTTGCCACTGCCTTCCTCTGCAGAATCTTCCTTGGTGGGTTCCCTTCCAAGTACTGACCCCTCTTTTGCTTCCGAGATCGGATGAGATCAGGCTATACCATGCTGTCTTCCCTCCTTGACCTCTGATTATCTCTAAGTAGTAATCTCCCAAGAAAAGTTCTGACAAGTGAATTTGCATCTAGCACATTTTAGAGCTTAGTTAGAGGAACAGAGCATCTGTATAGAAGTGTGGTGATAACACAGACTAGCTATCTGCCCCCCAGTAGTAAAAAACATTTCCTCAAATGCAGCTCAAATGGACACAAACAGAGCTTGGCTAGTACATTGAGTAATGTGTTTTTAGTTATTTATATAGTGCCACCAAACTACAGTAAGTTTTTAAAAATATCACTATTCATGTTTGTTTGGCAAAAGTCAGCTTGTCAGTGCATTTAGTCATAGTAGCAGACAAAGGGGAAATATCTGGAAGGTTAAAGAGTTCAGGAGGGCTGTCGTATAACCAGCAATCACTCTTCCAAAAGGGAAAAATCACATACAAGCGGCATAGTGGGTTTCTGGCAGTAGCTGTGCCTAGTTGGTTTAAGACAGATGCATTAGCCAATCTGCCAACCTGTACTTCTGATTGTCCCCTATTGCATTCCTACCAGTATTAGCCCCTGACCTCCACATCCAGTATGGGCTATAGTCACTGCCCAGGGAGACTATTACATAGCAACTAAGACTATGGAGGAGTAGCAGTAGAAATATGAGATCATTTAGAAGACCAGTTCTTTTTGTTGTAATAATGGGGTGTTTTTTTTAAGACTACCTATACATAAAATGTAGGAGGAAAGTGTGATGACATAAACTGCTTTGGGTACACATTGGAGGGGAAAGTGGTATAAATATCTAAAATAAATAAATATAGGACACAATACATGCTCTTAAATGGCATTCATTCATTTCAATGAGGCAACTGCAAGAAGCCAGCAAACTATTTCCAGTGCCCTAAAGAGATATTCTGTTATAGAAGAGTCTGAACTGAGAAAGCTTTTACTGTACTGCACTACCCAATATACATTTCCTGATAGTCTTTACTCAAAGTGATCTGGACAATTAAAAAGTTGCAGTTGTGATTCAGCTCACAGCTGCTAAGAGTACAGATATTTATTTACATACCTACAGTGAACTCCAGTTTTTGGCTCCATTAATGGGCTGATGAAGCTATTCTCAAAATGAGGCCATTCAGTGATAACTGTTGAAGATATTCTTAATTTCCATGGGGGGGGGTAACTTTGCAGTTACACTATACTCACATTTCAAGTTACATTAACATGAAGTACAACTTAAGAGAAACTATTTGATTTCTTCTTTAGCACCCTCAGAGATTGTAATACTGGTACTCGCGTAAGACCAGCTCATTTGCCATTTTGTCACAAGTGATTAGCAGTGAGGAGTAAAGTTATGTGCATGTGAACCAGCTGTTGTAGATTGGCTGATGTTCCTGCATGTGTTAATTTGCAAGCAGGTGTGCACAGTGTGTAATAAAACGTATCCTATAGTATTCATTAACCTGCCATATATTTCTGCTATATGTGAGGACAGAGGAACCCAAAACACAACATCCACTGCTAAACATTACAGGGAAGAA